CTGCTGTCTGCTGTCTGCTCAGGGCTGCTGTCTGCTGTCTGCTGTCTGCTCAGGGCTGCTGGTGTAGCAAGAGCAGGGCTGTCTGAGCTGTTTATAGCCACAGTGGGTGGGTGTGTGCATGGCGGGGGTGATTTCTCGGAAATCAGACAGTTTACTGCCAGAGCATGGGGAGATCCGCGGTGCAGTGGGCTCAGGTGTTCTTTGCACCCTTCATAAATATGAGCACGTAATGCTGTATAAGATAAGCAGTACAGATAAGGAGCTGGTGTGTTTTTTTACCAGAAATTTTAATACCTAGGTTTTTTGTTGGAAAAAAAAAATCATATTGCTCATTTAAAATCATTTGATTTGAAATAATCGTATTGAATAAAACCCTGTAGTTTTCACATTCTTGTGGGCATAAAATAGAGCTCATCTGTACTGTTTATTATAGAGAACACGCCTTTTCTTCATCTTTATCAAGGGCGGTTGTTGGTTTTTGTTTTGGAAGGAATTATTACATTTATTTACATATTACCATATTTAAAATATAGATTTAATCAATTGAACAAGTAGTGGAGAAACCTTAATGTTTATATATTTATTTCTTAACGAGTCACAGTAAATAATTATCCTGTTTTACAGGTTGTGATTTTTACACTAATTTAAGATTCAACATGATGAGGGACCTTATGGTAGAGCTTTTCTGAACATCTCAAACTTGTTGTTTCGATTTGATAAGCTTAGCAAGGTAGATAATGTGATGAGAGCACCTCCTGGCGTTGAGGTTTCCTTTCCAGGTCGTGTTTAGGTGTCTGTGGACAGGCCGGATCCTGTCGGATCGGGCTGGAGTGTCTGTGTACAGGAAATTCACCTGGAAAGGAGGATCAGAGAGACAGAGAGAGCCAGCACACCCGATACTTCCCAGTCATCTTATAATCTGGCTTTTGAGTTGCTGTGGAACCCGCAAACTGTTGTAGCAGATGGCTTTATAACTCGTTACACTTGACTTAGTGTCACTTGAATTAAGCTCCTAAAATTGGAGGTGATTTGTTTTCCACTAAAATATCAGACCTCATCCTCAGTAAGTGATGGTACAAGCATCAGGTCCATAAGCAGTACAAGGAATGAACCAGTTCCTGAGGCAGCCGTGACATGACCTCCCACAGGTGAGCAGACATGACCTCCAGCAGGTGAGCAGACATGACCTCC